AAATTATTCGGCAGTGAAAGATGTTTTTGCTCAGACAGTGTGTGATATATTTGCACTGTCATTCATCACTTAGTCATAGGTGAATTCATTTCACTTCTTAAGTGTTATCAGTTGCTCGTCTTATATTAATTCTCTACCAATTACTTCCAATGCTTACATAATGCAAACTGTATCCCCATGCTTTCAAACATATACGCGTATAATATGATAAGCACAGCTGGCAAGTCAAGTCAACTAATTAAATTCATAACACCACTGAATCTTTCAAAAGTGTACATAATCCAGCACAAATAACTTTGATTACATCAACTAAAAATATAGCAATTATTAATCATACCCTGTAAGTGATCCATTTTGGATCGAGAACAAATCCTCATCATCTGAACCATCTTCTCTGTCGCTTATATCTTTGCTTAGTGCTTTCCGCAAATCATCAATGCGCTTTTCAGCACATTGTAAATCTTTAATCAAAGTCTGCTTTTCCAATTCCATTTTTTCGCGTTCGATAGCCTTAGAAATTCATCTTCAGATTTTTTCCAAATTATCATAACGACGTTCATGGTCACACGTTGCATATAAAATTAAGTAAACTGAGTCAAATTATGTTTTTTATTTGAATTGAGTCAAATTCATTAATTTCATGCGAAATGTTTCCAATTAAACTAATTTCAAAATGAAACTCAACATGTCAGTGAAAAGACTTAAACAAATAATCTGTAGGCAATATAGATTGCTTTTAGAGCTTGCACTGAATTTTGTTTTGTCCAAATCACTCCTCAACTCATACATTTAAGATATAACAAATTCGCTCTTTCATAACTAAAAACTAATATCAACTTACAACTTGTTTGCATTTATGAACAAGATCCATTTCTTTCTTACGTAGATCTTCTAACTGTTCCTGCAGCGTACTTACATCTTTGCGTGTTTTGCGGTTTACACTAAGATCTTTTTCACGCAAGCTGTTCAGTTCTTGGATTTGATCTTTTAGTGATTCCACTTCGTCATTTGCTTTTACCATCAAAGCCTGTAAAATTGTTTATAAAAAGGACTGCTTGGATGTTTCAATGCATCCAAATAAAACAAATAAAATAAATAATGTACGTAGCAAATCAAAGTTTGAAAAAGAAGCTAAGGATAGACAAGGCAATGATAGTTGCGGTTGTTACACATGAAAGCATTGTGCAAAAATCGAATGTGATGAACCAAACTAATTCATATTTTAAACTGTTCTATCACGTACTACGTATTATATTGTAGTTACTTACTTCAAGTCTAAGTTTCTGTGAGATTTCTAATTCTAGCTTCGCTTCCAGATCACGTATTCTCTGCTCAGCTAACAATAATTTATGCTTCTCAACTGAATGTTGCTGATGATATTCCAAAGCTGATGAAACATCATTTAATTGTTCACGCAATTTTTCTTTATCTTTTTCCATATCAGCCATCTGAAATACATTTTTACAATGAAAATTATTCAAAAAATACGGATTTTTCTTTGCAAATAGTCCAAAGATCACAGAATTAACAAGAAACATTCATTCGTAACCAAATCAGTCGTCCAACAAATCGACTATTAACCACTGAGAAAATGAATGCATAATTATTAAATGAATATAAAAACCTGCTCAAACTGATCAGCAATTTTGATTGAATCAACTGCACTTTGTTGCACTGCTGCTTTATATTTTTTCAACAAATTCCGCACTTGTTCATCCTGTTCTTCAACTAATGCTAACGCACTACTTTTCTCTTTGAAAAGTACCAACGCCCGATCTTCAGCGGAATTTTTTGCTGTCAAAGCAGCTTCCAACTACAATATAAAATAAATAGTACACTGGCAATTATCAATAAGCTAACATTGCTGAAAGCAATGATACTTTAGCGTCAGAGAGAAAAATCACAGCACAATTTTTTTTTTTTGGATAATAAAGGTCGTGAAATGTGACGAATAAAAAGAAAATAGTTCGCGATTCACCTAAATGAGCAGTTCAAGAAAGAAATAGGAAAAAGAAGTGGGAGAGTTTTACTTACTTGAGCTCTAATTTCAGCAAGTTCGCTTTCCAGAGAATGACGTCCTCGAAGTGCACTTAATTTTGCAGCTTCAGCATCCATCAGTTGCTCTTGCAGCTGGCAAATCATCGATTGATTTAAAGAATTTTCTCGCTCACGAGCCAAAACTCGTTGCGTATCCCGCAAGAGAGCTAAAGCTTTCCTCAAATCACGCTTATAATGACCTGATGAAGCTTCGAAGCTGAAAGTGAAAGATGAAATAAAAAGATACCACTAATTAAGAAAAAACTCACCGAAAAGAATTAAGAATATACATAAAGTTAATATACATAAAATTCAAAATATAATTAACCTAACACTATAGTTATCCATATCACGTGTACGTCCCTCCAACATACGATTCTGCTTCACTAGAGATGAATTCGTGTCCTGCAAATCTGCCACCTGCTCCTCAAAAGCTCGAGCCTGAAGAAAAAAGAGAGTTACTATTTCTTCTTTAAACAAGCACCATCAGAAATTAGGGCACCAAAACCTTACTCGTCTTTGATATTGTGATCTCAACTCGTCAATTTCATTATCCTTAGCTTCCAAATCCCGCAAACGTTCCGTTCGGCTTCGCTCCGCAGCCATTTCCAACCTCGTTATTGTTTGTTCCAACTGTTTCATTCTATCCGTCAATTCATTAAGCTCTTCTTCCTTCAAGGCAGAAAAAGCAATAATATTGATTTGGAGAAAGTTAAAACTTAACAAATTTCATACTTTCTGGACATCTTACCTGTTCAGCGCATTTCATCTCCAGGGAATGTTTCGCTTTATGTAATGAACTAAATTCACTTTCCGTAGAGCCTTCTTTAACTTCGCTCAATTTTTCTAGTTCTTTTCGTAGTTTTGCAATACTTTGACGCAGCTCACCATTTTCCGCCTTCAAATTCTAAAAATACTAGCGTCTTCAAATTTAGCTAGAAGCACAATTGGTAAGCATATCCAAGCATGAGCTTTTCAGACCAAAAAGCCAACTGAAGCATTGCGAAATAAAGTATATGATGGAGACTGAAGACCCAAGGAGGCTCCAAAATAAATTGAGATCCTTCTAAACTTTCATCCATTATATTACCAAAAAATGACTCCTTACGAATTTCTTGACCACACGAAAAGTAGTTTATACCTGCAATTCTGTAAATCGTCTTTCACTGTTGCTGATAGCTTCTTCTCGCTCACGTTCGGCTTTAATCCGCTCCGTTCTCTCCTTCTCGCTACTATCTTTCACAATTTTCAAATTTATATCAAAGCTAAAAAAAGAGAAGAAATTTTGCACTAGTAATACACAGAAAATGTTCTTCACACAAAAATAAACTTATATTAAGAATATTTATTAAACGATATACCATGAACATACTTTTTGTATTTTCTCTCCAATGCATCGTTCTTTGCTCTTAAATCTCTCAGTTCATTTTCAACATCCTTTAATTGCTGCACTGCTTTCTGAGCTCTCAAACGTTGTACTGAATCACTTTCTTTTAAAGTTGCAACTTCTTTTTGCAATTCAACAGTCTGCAAGAAACAACATTTAGAAGTCTTTTTAATCGTTTACAATAACAAGATTTACGAAAAAAAATCATGTAACAAGCAGAAAACACATATAGATAAATGTTACGCTTTGATCGAAAAGTTAACCTTAGTGTCTATATGCACGCTTTGATCGAGGCGTGAATGAGATGAACACGACGAAGACATACGTGAATCTTCTTTTGAATCTGAAAATTTAGAATTTTGGAATCTAAATTTCCAGAAAGACATCCCTTTTAATTTTACTGCAAGTAATAAGTATAAAGCTTGCCGTGAAAACGTTGTTGTAATACCAGTATTTGCTTCTCAGCTTGAAGACGATGTTCTACTTCTCGTTCCAGAGCATCATTCATAGACTGTGCATTTGCACGCTCAACAGTTAGCATTTGTTCCAATTCCACAACACGTGCTTCCAAGCGGTTTTTTACTATACGTAACTTTTGGATTTTATTCTCTCTTTCATCCAGTTTCTGTTCCCACTCACGGCTTTCACGATCACTTCTAAAAAATCTGAGTTTTTTCATGATATTCATTGTTAAAGAAGCAAAAATTGCTATTCCCTAGGGGACAATAATTAATTTAATTGGAAAGTAAAGGACCTCGTTGCTGCTAGAAGTGGCGACACGCGAATGTAAAGACGCCACCAGGGCCATTCACGCACTTTTGCGTAAGCACGACCATTCCGTTGTATGCAGCGTATCGCAATTTCTTGTACACGTCGCTTGGCCAACCATTTCATAGCCAGATATTTACGACAGATTTGTTGGAAGTGTCCAATAAGGCCACTCAAACAAAGTTCACGACGTTCTTCCAGTTCATCCAGTAAATCGCTACGTAGAAGAACCTGATACATTCACTGCTTATATGATATATTAAATTTACTTACTGAGTTGTTACAAATTAATGTCTTCACAGATAGAACATTAAGTTTTGCCAAATTGCTTGTGCTAATGCAAAAGCTCAGCTGAAATTTCTAATTACCTGGCTTAAACCCAATCGATACCGATGCGAAAATGCACCCAATTCTTCCAGTATTTTGCCAGAGATAGCTCGATCATCCATATATTCGCTTGAAGTATTCTGTTCCTTCAGCAAACATTGGAAACGACATCGAAAATATTTGTAAGGGATTTGTTCCGGAAAACCTGAAAATAGGCATAACAACTTAAAATTATCCTTATATTAAATATAACTTCTATATTTCCGTCTCCAGGTTCCATATTTTAATAAATAGATAAAAAGCTTTCGAAAAACATTCAAAATTTATAAAAAAATGAAATGTAAAATATTTTACAAAAGTAGAAAAGTCCTCAAATGATAAAAACAAATCACCCAATATTTATGAAATATTCAAACATTGTTACGTTAGCATGAACAACAATATACCCTGGCTTGCAGCGCGAGCTGAATTCACCAACGATAGGTAGCGCAGTTGATTTCGGACATATTGTATATTCAGGAGCTCATCAGGTCGCATATGCATGTCAACTGCGGATAACGGCCGGACACAGTGAACAAAATGAAGACCAGTAGTTCTTTTGATACATGATATGACGTAATCCTGTAAACATATTTTATCTATAAATACTAGGTAAGTTACTTTTCGATTATTAAATTTTGCAACATATTTCACTCAAAAATCAAAACCGATGAATAATAACGTGATAATTGGTTACCAGGAAAGCTACAAATTTTTTAAAATCTATCAGAAAAGTTGGATCTAAATTAAAACCACAAAGTATGAAGAAAAAAACCCGTTAAAAATTACCAGCTGGAAACAAAAATCAGCGAAAAATCCAGAAATCACACGCATACCAGCAGCATCAAGCTTGATTGTTTGTGTTGCTTTTCGCATTTTCAATGTTGTATTGTCAGCTACAGGGGTAGTAACCGGTGAAAACATACTTGCAACTGTTAAGCTGAATAAAAATGATATTTGTATCTACATAATGATGTAAAACCGAATGAAGGGTCTCTGCTTTCATCATCCAGATATAATTCTGGACCACTAAAATTCTTTGGAATGAACCATAAATACAATTAAATTACAAATCCAGCCATTCGGTAAAATATTACTTCCTGAATGTCGAAAAATATAAAAGAGTAAATGTGGTCATAATTACTGAAGACTTCATTTTTTATGATGATGAAGATAAAATTCTTTAACCATTATATTCCTCTGTTCGCTGCCCTAGGAATATTCAAAGGAATGCTTACCTATTCGAAGTGCACAATAAAGAAGTGAGCGAGGAATCAGTATAATCAGACTGAGCAGCTTTTATCCAGCCTTGAACATTATATGTAACAGAACTGCTATCAAGGCCATGCCGCAATACAAATGTTAGCGGATTGGTATCTCGTCGAATCAAGTCTAAAAAGAAAGTAAAAAAATTATTACTTACCGCTTTTTAGTATTCAAAAAATGAACCTTACGTGAATCAGCCAGATGAACGAAGATTCTCTCTAAGAAAGAATCATCTGTCGCTGCCGGAAACAATGCTTCCTCATCCAAAATACACATTAGACCACGTTTCTCCGTACTTCGCAATTCAATATCAACACAATTAGACTGAAATAATGCATATGTTCTTAGATGTTAGATAGCCAAATTTGCTTACCTAGCTTAAAATGACAGATTACAGATACGATGATCCCATATCAGGAATCATTTAGTCCGTTCCAGACAGCACTATACGGCTATGACTTCCACCATATACTGATACTGAATGATCTAAGAGTATTGACTGACTCATGACAAAAATCCGATCTTGCGCCCAAATTACTACAGTAAAAGCAAAAATCACATCATAAATTAGTGCTTCACTTTTTTGGGAATTAACGCTACATAACAATTACCAGTTGTTGCCTTTGATCAATTAACCGACAAATTTCGTGTGGAGAACTTTGAGTTTGCTCAACATCGGCTTCCACTTGCTCCCTTTTGTACATTTCCAAAGGCTCATTAAAACACACATCATGATAGAGCTCCGCAAATCGTTCATTTACATAATTATACAACAAATCATTGAGGCCACGAGGATGAACAGCATCCTGAAAAATCTCTTGAATAAAAGTAGAATGATGAACATTAGGATCAAAATAACTTCCAAACTTTCGAGATCAAGTACTACAAAGAGATTTTAACAACAAATGAAAATCCAATTTTACCGGGCTGAATGATCCAAATTCGCTTCCTGGATAATCGACAATGGTAATCGTAGACGATGACGTTGAACCACCTTCCCCTAAATGGCGATTTAAGGAACGAACAACAGCATCAAACAGTTCGTTATACAAACAAGCAGTAAACCGATTCAAAGCTTCTTGTCCAGTTTGATTACGTGTCGATAACGAAAATCGGCTAAAAGTAAATCGGAACAGTATTTTTTCAAGAAAATCACAATAATATTAAAAAAAATTAAATCGAAAAGTGCGGATTTTTTCTCCGTTGTTATCTACATTCTGTAAGACACTGTATACGGTATTCCTTTGAACATTTCAACAATAAACACTTAGTTTAGTAGTCAGCAACAATTAACTCAAGTCATACATTTTCGGATATAAAAAGAGTTCAGCATATACATAATTGATAATTGAGAAACAGATGCATAAATCTATTTACAATACCTGACAGGATTACTGGATGCAGTTTGCGAAAGATTTTTACGGAAAACAGCGGAAGTAAGCTGTTCCACTTCTAATCCCAGTAATGAGGCAGCTTGTTGCGCATGCCGCATGTGTATAAATTGAGATCTTGGCGCGTCACTTTGTGTAGCTTCAGCACAAATCAGATGTAGGATTGCTGTAAGGACAGATACGATTGCAGTCTTCTCCTTCTCAGTAAAACCCAACTCCGTGAACGAATCCAGAAGCCTTAACCAGTCCTGGAAAAAAAAGCCAATAATGTTGAGAATTCGATTCGGTCTTTCAGATTTCTTAATTTCCTCGGGAAATAAATTTTTACATATTGAATATGATACCATTGACCATCAGACATATTCCGCATTTGAAGAGAATCTGACGGGTTCCAGACACATAAAAGTACGATATGAAAAATACAACAATTAAGTATAGAAGCACTGAATATTACCTTTTGGGTGTCAGCGGATGCATCATCGTTTTTCCGTTTGAATGCTGCCACTACTTCTAAGTCAGCTCCTTGCAAAAAATAACGTATTACATGAAATACCCTTCCATCAGTGATACATCGATTGACACGAGTTTTTTCCAATAAAAATGTTTGTATGGAAGCACTCCTGAAAATATACCATATATCCCGCACATGCAATTTAAGATTATGTGTTCTCATCAGAAAATGAACTGGACTGAAAGTGAACTGCCTCCACATGAGAAAATGTTCATGAACAAACATGTATTCTGTGTGACTTCGCTATAAGAATGGGAACTAGTGACCTTTAGGAGGCACACCACAGCAAACTAAACGTGAAAAAAAGTTTTGCATCTCTAAAGTATCAATCGTTTTCTAAATGGTGGTTAAACCTACATCAACAATTTTTGGATAAGATAAATTTGCAAAAAACTTTAAAGGATTTGAAGAAGTAAAGTAAAATTACCTTAATGATGCCACAGTATCAAATGAAAGAGAAAACATCATTAAAAATTGAGTTGAATTCGCACTACTTTTCGTTCTACAGTTACCGAATGATTCCAAAACAAAAAGAGCCGATGATATTGTATCGTCTAAAACAGACCCCATACGAAATATAAAGTGGACATTAGCATATTTCAAAAAAATGATAAATTCTGTAAAAAAATACATCTCTCACTTTGTTAAACCTTAAATATTGATAACTTTATCATTGTAATTATAAATTCTTGAATCCAAGACCTAAATTATAATTCCTGGCTCTATCTAAAGTAATTGAGTTCCGTTCTTAACTTTGCAGCTTTATGTTCCAACAAAATTTCCAGCAAAAAATATTGCTGGGTTTTATTGATTATTGTTTCCATTCATTTCAAATTAAAATCCTGAACCAAAAAGTGAAATTAATTATGAACTTACATGAAAGTGACTTAGTCCAACCAGCTACTTCGCAAAAATAACGACATATATTCCGCAGTTGCATCGTTTTTCCGCTACCAGATGCTCCCGACAATACAATACACTGATTTCTTCCAGACATTTGTAGAGCTCTTTAAAGAAGTTGAGATATAAGAATTACAAAACGTGACAAAATATAAAATTAATAGCTTGGATTTTTACATTAACAGACAACGGATATGCATCTTTCATTGTGGAACTCATATAACACGGAAGGCCTTACCTGTAGGCTTGCTGTGCAGAAGAATATATATGTGGCGGAATCTGCTGTCGTCTGCATCCTTTGAAAAGAGAAACTGTTGTTGTTGTCTTTGGACTTTCAGTTGCCAGACATATTGTATTCCGTGGGCCAACGTATGTGTAAAATAAATTACTGCCATAACGTTGACGAAGTACATGCAATACACTCGTTTCATTTATATAACGTAAACTAAAACAGAAAAAGTGAGAAAATAAGAAATTATGTTTCATGCAAAAGATTGGTTCATAGAAGAATTTTTTTGTGGAAAAATAAAATTTTAATGCAATAAATTCATTTAGGTGATTTGTTCAAAATGAGATAAATTAAATGTTCGCCGACTAATAAAGCAGAAAAAGCAGCAACCTGATAAGATCCTTAACGCGATCCAGGCTTGACGGATTCGCTTTATCAATATCCGTCACATCAACATCCATTTCCAAATCCATCACTTTTATTCTCATCCTTCCATCTGGTAAGGTTTCTAGCAAACGCGCGAGCGTGAAACCGTTTTTATGAATCAACCAGCATCGTTCTTCTTCCGGCGTGTCCTATGCGATTAAACTACTATTACAACTTGAAGTTTTCCATATTTCATTTTTTTTCAAAAAAAAAGTTCACTTCCAAAAAAAACTACCGTATTAGCCTGATATTTCGAAGTTGCCGGAAGCATCAGCGAATCACCAATAACAGTACGATCCACCTCGTTCCGCTCGCATAATTCAGCTAATTCCGGCGCAGCTCTTACCGTAAGTTCAACAGTTGGTCCGCAACGCTGCAACAACGGCTATTAGTCACAACCTTAAGTGCTGAAACTTTGCACTTCCAATTAAAACCAATAAATATCATCACAATAATTTTCTGCACTGTCCGTCCATCACAGGACGAAGTATATCGAATGATCATATATATGTAGCACATCTTATCATATTATCGAAAATTCAAAACCACTACTAACTCAACTATTATTTATTCTAACTAACTGTTAAACTATTCCTGATCACATACTACTATGAATTGAAACTAATAATGATCAAGAAGTATCAAAACAAGTTATGAAAAACATTTATGAGGCACTGCATTATTTCTTTCTTTTGAAATATAGTTAGCGGATTTTTTTGTAACACAATGTGAACTAAAAAATACTAGTAACTTGTATGCAGAAATAAGCAACAATGCATAAATTAGCACAGAAAAAACAGAACGGGAGAAAATATAGAGAATAGAGGTAATTCGTAATTTTACCCATAATTTTGCTCCAATTTTACCCCCTTTATTTTAATAGCCTTTACGATAATGTCTATGTAACTCTCTTAATAAACTCACTTATTTCTGTGTCAGCTAAAGTGTAGTAAAATTTCCCCAATTACACCAAAAAGCATTAATTAGAATGGGGAGACTAGGTTTATTTTAAAAGCATGTGCGAAATCAGATTAAGAGAAAATGAAAATATCTTTATAATTTCATATCTATTTCGTAAGAATCATATACATATATAACTAATTGAATAATTCAAAAAATTTTACGACAATGTAAACATATGATTTACTGAAAAAAGTTTATCACCATTTATACAGTAGTTGATTAAATTACTGATGGCATAATATAAGTATCATTAAATATCGAAAAAAAATCATGAAAAAGGAGAAGAGAAACGCAAAAAAAAACCTCCATAAGAGTTGATAAATCGTTTCGACTTAATACATCGATTGAAGTACCATTAATTCGTAGCAACTGATCACCCGGTAGTAACCCATATCGAATATCATTTGGTAGTGGTGGACCATCTCGGAACTTCACGGGTTCCACGAAAGCAACAGCATGCAATTTTCCTTGTTTGTCAGGAATCTGCGTACGTCGTATGATGAAGTCAAAGTCACCTGAAGGAAAAAAACAAGAAAAAGAGGATGATTTTAAATGCCTTTGTAAATAAATCCCAGCTACGCCATTTTTAATTTCAAAAGAGAAAGATTATTATATGAAATTCTATGGAAATTTTCTGAATCAAACTGTCAATCATTTAAATTTTGCTTACCAGAAATATTTCTGTGTAACATCACAGTCCTAACATTGACTTGCACTGGTGCCAATGCTGGAAGCGACAACTTCGGTAAATTCTGAAAGTTTGACAATTAATTATTTGATCATTGAATTTGAGAAGTTCAAGATATCCTTCAGTACATTTTCCAGAAAACTCAAATTTAGAAAACATCGAAGACAAATTAAATAAATTAATTTTAATCCTAAAAATGCATGACAATGGCATACTTTGAGAGCATAGAATGAGGAAGGAGAGGAAATGGCGACAACTGCATCAGCCATATTGCCTAAATAATTCCTCTCACAGTTACAGTATAGAATACACGAATTCTTAAAATCGTCCAATAGAACGATTTTATATGCTCCTTTTTTGCTCTAAAAAAAATTAATTCATAATCCGGAAATCCTTAAATATTTCCCAAATACAAACGTCAAATTCTTTTGGTCCTATAATCAAGCGCTCATGTCTTTAACATTACAAATGTCCTCAGATAAATATCTTATTTAGGTCTAATATAGTTTCAAGTCTAATATTTCCAATCCTAAGAAATCTTTAAAAAAAAGACAATAAAATGTGATAACCATTTCCAGAACTTTAAACATTTACAAAACATCTGATCTAATCCTCGCAAAATTCCAACAATAACACCCTTCCAGCACGGTGTCATCAAAACACAGAAATTGGCATAATGACATAAAACCATTTGCCTGCAAATTCAGTTATGCAACCCTGATGTTTTGGTTTTGGTTTTTATGTTGCATTGGAATTTGTTAGGATCATGAAGTTGTGAGTGCCGGTTCATTGTTGTTGTAGTTGTATTCGTAGATTAAAGATTTTTTTCTTTTTCTTTTGCAGTTTCAAATCCTATCTTTTGTTTTATTGGATATTTCGTTTTTTTTTTTCAAATTAGATATCCTATCGAACTTTGTTACCTTTGGATATTTTTATTTTGAATGAAGAAATTACTTGTGACCAGTAATTGGTTAATTTCATCAAAATTTGAATTTTTTGAGAAAAGTAAAAGAATTATTCTAGATGGCATTTTTAACAAATCTATTTGGTGGTCATACTAACGGTACTCGTGATACGGATAATGCTGCAGAAGTTGTGGAGAATCTTGTGGAGAGGGTGGAGACGTCAATGGTTCCTGAAGATCGACGAGATGCCTTGAAAGCGTTACGGTCACTTGCTAAGGTTAAGATTATTTCCCTTTAAAAATTCTAATTTAACATTAATATTAAAAAAAGATCATGACATGCAAATTACCAATAGGATCATTGAAATTTAATTGTAGAAAAACAAAATTTAAAAGATGGAAGTTGTTAGCATGAAATATATAGCGAACGAGTGTGGGAGTATTTGCAAAAAATAAATTTGTCGAGAAATGTCAGGCACGAATCCATAAATGTGCGTAGACAACATCATGAATCAGTAATTAGTGTGTCAGGTCATCATGGAAGGAGACATTATATGAAGTTTTTATAGATAAATCTAACATTAATGCTAGGGAATTCGTTCATTTGTCGTTATTATTTTATTTAGATGAAAAAAAACGGATTTGCAACTTGGTAAAAGAGAGAAAAATTACAGAAAGTACGATTACCGGTAGCCGCCATAGGTATGAATGTTTACATGGAAATTCTTTCGAAAGAAGGCAATAGTCCGGAGATCGTATCTATCGTCCTTGAGATACTAGTAGCTGTGTTGTGCGATGATGAGAGTTCCGATGAAGGTATACTTTATAAATTATTTATATTTCCTAGTAAAAAAAAAACAGTTAAACAAAAAATCAAATTTAAGGACAGGATGAAATTGGTGAACGACTTGCGGAAATGATAATTCAGAGGAAGGCATTTATTACATCGATCATGACAATTGTTGAATCATACGAATTTGCTGTTCGAAGGTATGGATTTTTCAATTTCGTTGAAATCAGTGGAGTCATTTCAGCGACTGTTCAAGCGGAGAAAAAGAAGGCAAGGAAAAAAAGGCGTCCATGGAAAGAGACTCATGGTATCCACTGTTAAACTGTTCATTACGTTTCCTGGTGTTCAAACTTTGAATGGTTTTTTTTTTCTATCTCTATTCAAGTCAATAAAGTCATAAACAATGTTTTCAATGTAATTTTGCCAGAAGAAATGTTTTTGTTACAAAACTTAAGTTTACGGTCCTCTAAGTTTCTGGTTTGTATTAGAAATTTTAATATGAAAACTGTAGAAATGTGTAATTGCGTTTTCTAGAGCGGCAGTACAGTTATTAACAGCACTCTTACGACATCGCGCCAGTGAAGTACAAACAGCAATTGTTGAGGAACCGATGGGAGTATCTCGCTTAGTGGATTTGCTTCACGACACCAGAGAGGTATTTTATTATTACATGAATTATAAAAAAAGTCAGATATGTAGGAGAACAATTTTTCGTTCATTTTATGGAGTATTATTTTACGACAACCTTCAAATAAAATGTTGAGTTTCTGTATAGCAAATTAAACTCAAGGTATACTTTTTTTATTTAAGATAATTCGTAACAGTACAGTATTAATGATGAGTGAACTAAGTCGAGCACATCCACAAATCCAGCAACTTCTGGCATATGAAAATGCATTTCAACTTCTTTTTGATGTGATCGATCTCGAACCTGCGGAAAGTAAGTTTCCTTGCGAAAATGCTTATGATATTTTCGGGTTCACTAATTGCATTGTCATATCTTATACTTCAACCTTCAGGTATCGTCATCGAAGACTGTCTTTATGTAATCCTCAATCTCTTACGGAAAAATCCAAAGAATCAGCAGCTATTTCGAGAAGCTAGGTTTGTATATATTTTGCAAAAGGCAAAATACTAATAACAGTTCATTATGTCTGTTGACTTCGTCAGCTTTGTTATGATAATGCGAAGGAAAAGTACAAATCCAATTTGATTACTCTTTGTAATTTTAGAGCAACATGGTGATATGTGTATCGCAGAAACTTCAGAGTACTGGCATTATTAAATACTAGTTGTCGAAAACCAAAAAAATGAAAGTATCAGGAATTTGTGAATTATGTAGGATAATTTGGGGGTAGTTGATGTTGAGATGTGCAATCTTCGTGTTACAGATGAAGAAAAAATTGTTTAACGTCAAAATTTGAAAAACTTATTTGTTTTTAGTATGATACACCGTTTAGCAGCACTGTTGAACTATTTCTTATATGGCCGAGAGGATGAAGAAGATTTGCCACAGCGTGATTATGAATGGCAAAAACAAAAAATCGCAAATGTGATATTTTTACTTCAAGTTGTTCGAAGTTTGGTTTCTCCGCAGGATAATTCGCAGAACAATATACATGCTGCACAGAAAGCCATTTCGCAATCGGGTAAAGATTTGACATTTCAATAAAGACCACTTTTCTGGTACATGTCGCAATAGTATGCCCCAAGTATGACATATTGAAATATTGGATTTACTGATGGTACAACGGTATATTGAATTATTCTAATCTCTCAAAGGAAGAGCTTGATGTCAGTAGTTTAGCAAATTTAATTTTTTTGAATAAGATGAAAAGCGGAGGTTCGTTAAACATTGCATGTTGTTTCTAAATTTTATTAAATTATTACCGGCAAAAACAACTTCTATTACGTTAAATTGTAGTTAGATTTCCCTGCAATAATTGTCCGACTAACAGTCTTTGTTTTTAACAGTGAAATTGAGCTTCACCTTCAAAAGCAAAGACTGCTAATCGAAGTGTTTTGGCATTGCGGTATTGACAGTTAACTCTTCTGATCCATCCATATTTCTCTAACTTCCTTCCGTGACATCATATTTTATATAAGACATCTTTTATTGATTATCCACTTGAGAGAAGGAGGACCGTAATTTAACATGCTATGTTTATATTCATCATTTCATTACAACTACATTGTTTTTTTAACTTTTAAAAAGGGTAAGGTACCAGTGGAGTGATCGTGGTAAAGGAAAGATACATAAATTATAAATCCATCTTTAATTTTGCAATATGATCAGATGTTTTTTTTTTATTTCATAAATTTCGTAACATGATTTCAGGAATGTTAAAAAATTTATGTAGTGTTTTGTTGTCCGAAATTGTAGCAACAGTAGAAGTTCTTACTGAAGCTATCGTCACTGTAGCAGAGGTGATATGTGGTGACTATCCAAATCAGGAATATTTTTCAACTCGTAGTCTTGCAACTGACGTTGGGAACAGGTAGTGAGATGTGAAATTGGATAAACTATATCTTTATTTAAACAAATGTTATTTCTGGAAAATATCGTTCCGTCCTTTCTGGAATACTTATATGATTAATCACATTGCAAAAAAAAAATCTACTGAGAAGTTTTGTATGCTTCTTTTATTTCCGTCTTGCAGACCGTCATTAATTGTTCTTTTATTATCAATGAATACTGAGAAGCAACCATTCAAACTACGGTGTGCTGTTTTTTATTGTTTCATTTGTTATCTATATGACAATGAATTTGGTAAAACAAAAGTAAGTTTTGTTCAGTTAGTTTTGCATTGTAAAAACTTATCAATAGTTTCATATCCGTTAGGGTTAGATGAAGAACGACATATGTTTCAGAACACGATAGAATCTTACCAAATATGGATAACTAGAAGAAAAGATGAGTATAAAGTCTGAAACTTTTATGATTAATAAATATCCTGCAGATGCTAGCGTTTTTTCTTTGTGATTTGTAGCAGAATCCATATTCTCTAGTAATCCATTGCAGGTAATTGATACGTTGTTGCCTTCGGGAACTTCAAATGACACGGAAATCACTACTGGACAGTGTATATGTACTGCTATTCTGAGTTCGGAAACCGTTCAGGTAAGGTACACATATCGTTAAACTCAAATGGAAACTGCGAACTTAAATAATTAAATTTTTAAAATGGTTCGCAGAAGATTGCGAAGTGTACCAATTTCGTTTTCTACAAAAGCGTTTTCTAAATGAGTTCACATCTGTATTAATCAATCAATGTTTAAGGTATGGCTTGGTTGTGTTTGCTTGCTACATTGTCTTCTAGATACGGATCATCTCAAACAGCAGCTGCTTAGAGTTCAACTGACAACCAATCCTTCCCAGACGCCTTCTTCACTTTTGCAACATCTTAGTACAATTCTGGTTAGTAACAGTTCCTTTTTATTTGAGTTGACCAAATAAGGGGTTTTAGCGGTACCAGCTAACTGAACACTTTTCCAGATTTCTTTGGGAAATCGTCGACCACAGACTAGGGCAGGGCTTCTCATGCTGCTTTCAACATGGTTGCACAATTGTCCATTAGCGGTTGCACAGTTTATCTCAGTCGAAGAAAATATCCAGTATTTAACTACACATATAGGTATAACACATTTTAAATTTTGTATGTTTTGAACGTGTTCGAAAGTAGTGAAATTTTACATATGAAAAAAACTTTTGAATTCTTTTCTAGATAAGTGTTTTCTTTTTTTGTATTTCACGAACTTTCTAAAATTGGTTTTTTTTCAAGATGGGTATGGCACAGAAGGTTCTGAGGATGAGAATCAAGTTGTAAGAGGATTAATAGCCTTTCTGCTTACGATATGTTTAGTTTTCGATGAAAGTGGCGAAGATAAAAACAGGTAGATTCTGAATATTTTCAATGTATATGTATTTTTATTCCGTCTTAACATACATCTGCGACTTTCTTTTACATTGTTTTTTATATAAAATTAAATAATGCTTTCCAGAAAGAATAGTTTGAGTGTGGTAGTGGAACGTCGTGTTGGAAAGGAGAAGCTAATTGAGCTGTTGGAAGACCTCTCACATTGTGAGCATTACGTAAAAGCAGCACAACGACCTCAACCGCTGGCGAAAGCACCTCAAGACTTGTTGTTGGATTATCATTTTACGAAGTTCTTCAAAAGTGTCGAGGGTTCCTCAAAAAATTTTTTTTAATCTCAACAAAACTTTGTGTAGATTTTAAATCATTTCCCATCTGTAGCCAGAAACACTAGAATTATTTGATTGTTAGATATAGCAGTGCACCTTTTGGTGAGGAACATTGTTAACATGGCAGATGGAGTCTATATCGCAGTCTTGGGAAATGTCAAGTAATGTCAATCGTCAGAGCACTCCGACTTATCTACCATTTTCACTTTTAATTGTTGTACCAAATTATTTGATTTTTGGGACGTAAATCGTCACTAAAATCAAAGATTCTTCGAATTTTAAAAACTTCAAGTCGTACAAATTCTTCACGTCAGTCAAATTATATTTTTCTTAAATTATGTTCAGATTTCGATGTTTCTTAGGTCAAGTGGTCAAACAGATATGTCCATCCGCCGAAACAAGTTCTTCCAGTATCAATAACGACAGTGTTTTTAATTCATACAAAGAACTGATAAAGCGTCAGGATGAAACAATTACATCATTAAGTCAGCAGATAAAGAAGCTGAAAGAAGATGCTGAAAATCTGCAGGTTTTATTTACAGTAATAACATATGGGCTTTTGGGTGTGGGATTTTTGTTTTTTGATCATTCACTTCTTATTATCATTTCATGAAACCCAGCAAAATAACTTGTGTAAAGTGACTTGTGTATCAGTTTCCAGGTGAGTTAAAATAATCATTTTTTTCAGAATTATAATAAGGAAAATGAATTAGCTTTGCTTTGGAAACAGCTTACTGAACAATGCCGAGTCAATGGTACCAATGTTTCTATGCAGCAGGAAATTGAGCATTATAAGTGGTGAGTACGTGAGAAGCTTTTCCAAATATTTCTTTAAAACCATATTCTTGTATTCTTTCAACTTTTCACTTTTATATTTTCATTTTTATGACTGCTAAATCCATAAGAGAGATTAAACCTGAAATTTCAGCTGTTGTCATAAGGCATTCTGAACTGTTCAACTTGACTTACAAAATTATGCTTTCTCATAATTTTCAAGTTACATTTCTTGTGGAGTTACATTTAATTTCTTGGGCAACATTAGGCTATAGGAGCGAAGGCCTTCGAAATTACCTTTTCGTTCGAAATCTTTCAATTTTTTGCTGAAGTTTAAATGCATTTATGAAGTGTAATGACACATTCCAGTATGGCCATGCAGTGGCAGTCCGAGGCGAAAAGGTATCAGAAATGGGCAGAACAATGGCAACAGTACCAGATTGCTCAGGTTTCTTTAGATATTCGAAAAGCTGAAAGTATTGATATTAGTTTAAAATATAGATTATTATATTGAATGTTCTGTAGAATTCAAATAATTTTCAGTCACCGAACTCTCAGGATCGAGTTGTTGAACAGCTTATCTCTCAAAACAAGGAATTGGAGGAGCAGCTGGAGCGCGGCTGGCAAATGTACGATTCTCAAGGAGTGTCGTTAGCGGCCGCTTTGACGGAGATCGAAGAAGCAAAAGCGAAAATTCGTGTTCTTGAAGGACAAATCGCACAAACAGCTTTGGATCATTCTTACAAACAAGTAACACCTACAAAGGTTTTTTAGCATTATATTAGAAAAATTTTACTACAATTACTAGAAAAGCGGATTGTAGCCTTTTTTCCACTAAAGGATGAAGTCAAGAAGAAAATGAAAAGGGGAAAGGAATTGAATTATTTAAACTTACTCCTTTTTGCATAGTTTTACTTGATGTCGAATTGTAATTTTTTGATTTTCTTGCTTTATTTAGATAGTGAATGGTGACGAAGTGGCGGTACTGAAAAGGGAGCAGGAAGATTTATTAGTATTACTTGCTGACCAGGATGCTAAAATACTTGAATATAGACGGAAATTGATAGAACTGGGGCAAGCAGTGACGGATGACGAAGATACTGATGCATAGTGATTTGTTTTATAAATCTGAATATAGTAGGGAAAATTTTAAAAATTGAATTCATTATGAGAAATATTTTCATTTTTATTAGCAATTTCACTGATTTTCATTTATGTACTTATTTACATTCCACATTTTATTTCTGCGATAGACAATAACATTAACTCGTGTAGTAAAAGTTCTATGCCATTTTCATTAGTCTGTCGCGGCATTCGGGTTTTAGATTAACTTGTTTTTATAATTCTCTGATTTTTGTTTGCAATTTTCATGTTTCCTAAGTGAAAGGTCGTTGAAAATATCATTTCCATTATTATTTGTATACGGTGATTATTATACTTATCCTAACATAAAATGCGATTTTTAACAGGAATGTAAAACAGTAACAATCATTTTTGTTCAAGAACTAATTCGGGACAACAGTAGAATTTCAAAATCCAGAGATATTAACATATTTGTTATAGCAGCAAGGCAACCAAACTGTTAAGTTTCTTATCTATCTGTAGATGGCAACTACTTCCCTTCGATATATATTCTCTGTAGAAAGTCCATAATCTTATCTTATTGAGAGGAAATTAGTTATACGATGATACACACATATTCATCCCAAATATTTTAAGCTGTTTGTGAATTGATAGCATCGTGGGAAATATATGAGGTAGAAAAGGGGAACTTCCTTGTTACGATATATGATTTGCTTTATTACCTTCTTATTTCTGATAATCAGTTTTTATCGTTATCGAGCCGCTTAATTTTTCAGCAAAATTATTTGCTTTTAGTGACCACCTATCTATTCAAGAGCTAATTCAAATCAAAGTTAAAGATAGCTTTAGATGTACGTTTCTTAGCATCGAAAATTAATTCAGTATTGCTTTAAGTTCATGTAATACAAAATATTTTTGCATCACTCTACACCCTCAGGAATGTACTTTGTTCTAACGTTATAAAACTATATACCGCAAACAAAATTTGCTTATTTAACAGATGTGACAATTAAAGCCGTCAAAGTTGACTTCAATAAACTATTTGGAATGTTTAAGATGTAATAATCCTAAGGCTTGTAAAAATCCATAAAGCGAGGTATGCCCATGGTATACACATTGCTGTTTTACCAATAATTATGAGAATTAATAGTTTGAGGTTTATAGACAATCAGTCTTGAAAAAAAAGCGCTACCAAATTTGACGCTAGGTCCTATGCGACACGGCAAGAATTGTGCCCAGATCGAATATTCTTTGGTTCTTATACTATTTAACTTTTAGGAAGGCATATTCCATGTATGTCACATATGTATAGAAAATTTTTGCAACTGATACAAATTATAGATCTAAATTTCTTTTTTCGTAAAATTCCAAAACTTGATCAAAATATATGCAACAACAGTAAGCCCAGTAGAACGTTACTCAGTAAACGATCGTTTATTGATTATTTATTTTAATACTTTATTTTAATGCTTACTTATCTTGTTTAATTATTAATACTGATTAAAATGAGGAAAATTACTCGAACGCGACTAACTGGCAGAAGGAAAAAGTACAACATCTTTACTTCTTCCGCACGATTCCTCTTTCCAATTATTATATTTGTTACCTTAATTGAAAGATTTTCAGGATTTTCCAACAATGAGTTGTAAACAATATCTGAATTTGACTTCTGAACATTGTATGAATCTAAGTCAAATGTCAAGCATTACATGGCTTTGTGATAACGCTCTAGTCCAAAAAATATTAATACAAACCATCTCAAGATTTGATGTAGATTCACGCTATTAATATATTTTCACTTTGTCAAAAATCATTATACGTCAAATGAAACGTGTTTCCTACTGGCTGTTTTGATTTTTATACTTTCTACCTGATGTATTTTGAACGCTAGAAATATCGATGATTTCAATCATATTAGAATTTTCAAATAATGAACTTTGGAAGATTGTTGCAGTCAGTTAAATCTAAATTGCATCTTGAAACTTCATTACACAACATTGAGATAACTTGATTTTAAAAGTATCGCTGCTGGGTAGTCCTGGAAGATGTCTAACTTCAGTAAAGTATTGTCTTTTTTCATTTCAAAAAAAAACGAAAACCATTCGGATATAATTCAAATTTGTGTTATTTAAAACCATTTTCAGAAAATGGAAAGTGAGGTAATAAATATCCCTTTATTGTACTTCATTTCGATTGTGTTGCACGTAATATCCGTTCGAGAAATTTTTTATTCGTTTTTAAACAAGCTGGCTTTTTCCTGAAATATTTTCCTCACTGATTTTATTTTTTTGTTATATTTTGCACATTGGAATTATTTCTCCTATATAATATGGTGAGATTATATATCATTATTAAAGTTCAACGAATACAACTTAAGCTCCCAATCGTATGAAACTTGGCATAACGATGAAACAAAAACAGATCGACATAAATTTTCAAATGAAACATACCAACCCTGTGGTCCAATTTTCTCGTAACGATGAACACCTAACGTGGCATCTCTCAGGATTTCTTCTCGAGCCATCCTTTCTAATTCAGATTGTTCACGCTTACTTGTTTGTGCAGTCGTATCCCGTACTTCCGTGATTACCGGATTCAAGTTTTGTTTTGCTTTGACAATCAGCTTGTCCAGTTGACGAAATTTGGTCCGATCATTTGTTTCATTCATTGGTTATGTCTGCACATCATGAATACCTTCCTCAGTTGTTCAGTTGTTTTAACTTAATACTATAGACCGAACAATCACTGAATTTGACTAAAACCCAAGTTCTTAACCTCTTTACTCGTTCACGTCCTTTACTGTATCCTAAATCGTCCCTAAACAAATAATTTCTCGACCAGAACTGAGATAAATTGCTCATACATGATACAAGTTAGACTTAACTTCTTGCTACGTAACAGAAACTTTATTAAAAAAACTGATCAGAAATTTGGAGGGCACAAAATGACGTGAAAGACAATTCCAAATAAAAAAGGAAATGGTATATATGTAAAGAAGGGACGAGAAATTAAGAGCATAAATTCATATCTGTTGGAAAGTAGCTAATTTTTTGCTTTTTGAATAGATAATCCTTTAAATTTTGCACATAGTGTTCATAAAAGAATAACTAATCATAAGATTACATGGTACAAAGAGATATTGTTGTGCATGAACATTCTACAGGGACTTCTCATACAGAAAAAACTTTCGGAAAAAAAAAAGAATCATAATCGTGAAATAAATACATATATAGATTGCGTTTCAATGTTTTCGTAAAAACCATGGCAGATATTACATGATTAATAAAAAGAATTCACTATCACAACCGATCTAATTTCAAGGAAAAGGGATATGTAACAAACCAATGATATAGATATCATTTTATAAATATGAATAGTTCATAATTAGGAGACAGAATGTAATGACTATTTGTTTCCGGCTTTTTTCAAAACATCACTGGTTCGAACAAGAAAAAGAAAGTAGAAAAACAGGAACGCGAGACCCAAATAATCACAGAAGCATAATGTATGACTATAACAGGATCTTTTCCATAACAGGAAAACCAGGTAGAAAGGTAAGTAATCTATAAATCGAATTGCAAAGTAAACAAATATTAGCACCTCCATCAACAGACTAAAAAAAGACCAGAAAGAAAGAAACCAAACAATTGGCGAATAAAAAACTCATTCATCCTTGACAATATTCTAAATATGCAACAAATTTGTGATAATTTTGCTATTCCTCCGTCTCTATCACATCAAATGCAAAAAGCGATACACAACACACCAGATGATTTAGCTAGTATCGTCCATGCGTTCTTTGTATCCCGTTCCTAACGGTTGTGAATTATTCATGTCAAAAATTACTACCAGCAAAAAATACTTAACCTCCGTAACGATCTATATCAGATATGGAAACATGATATGAAACCATTCTTTTTCAAAAAACAACAAATTGCCCAAATGGTAATTCGATAGTTAACAACAAAAGTTATTCATTAAGAATTGAATTCACTGCTAACAGAATGACAGGTTTTGAGCACTAGAAACGTGACCTAACCTAGCGTTTTTGGGAACTGTTCCGCATATTTAGAAACGAAAACAATAAATGAATGAGTTTAAATAAACAAGATTTCTGCATTTTACAAACAAAAAAAAAATTTCAGGGAAATTACTAAAGCTAAAGAACGACATCATAGAATAAACAAAAGGTTTGGATGCCTGGAAGAATCCATATCAAAATCAGCAGGAATAATCCTCTTTCATATAGCAGCCTCCAAACGTTTTGAAGAGTAGAAAGGTGATACAGATGACAGACCTGAATGGGGAAACAACTCACAACTTTCCTCAATAACTCCACTATCAAATGAATTAAAACTAAGACGACGTACAGAGCATAAATTTAAAGCTTGCTGGGGCGTGTTGGGTGATGTATTGACAACACTACTCGAAGTATTGCCTTCTATCTCGGATAAACCTGAATCTCGCTCATGCGGTCCATCGCTACGACTGATCAATGAATGCTTGTCCAATTCAGCATCAATTCTTACTGCTTCCATTTCAGCACACTCGGCCACTGACTCCTTTACATCCGCTACGAACCGGTGCCTAAAATACCAGAAAAATTACAGATATATAAAAAATGAAAAAGCTATTCCACATCTCACCCACTTCACATATGAAGATATGTTTTCCTTACCTGTCGTCATTATTTTTCGAATTCAAATAAATTTCTTGCCCATCAGGTAATGTGATCATAATGCCATAATCATAAAAAGGAGTCTCGAACATGCTAACACGTAGTCCTAGGAGCATCATCCAAGTGCGTAAAACATACTGGCAACATGATTTCCTCTTTGAAGCCATTTTTGCAATCTACAATTGTAGAATATTTCACAGATTACACTCGGCGAAGAACACTAAAAACATGGATCTTTCCAAACCACAACTATCTAAATTTAAATGTTCTTTCCTAAAATGTTTTCCTCAATATTCCACAGAAAAAGACCATCATTAAATTGCTAAAAAACTACAATTTGAAAAATTTACCAGCAAAAGATCGTTAAACAAAAAAACTTCGCGTTGATGAGCATTGGACGGTTGTCGTTTACTGCGATCAATAATCTGATTCAAACGACAGTAACACACAAGACGACGATGTGGTTCGACCAAGTTCTGAAAATTTCTGATTACAGGCGTACTCAATTTGCCTAACCAATTAAAACTGGGAGTATATTTTCAACTAAATTATGAAGTTGAATTAACCAACTTACAGGCTTATCCTTGCCAACCATACTTTGATCAACTACAATAACTTGCGATACATGATCTGATCCAGTGCTGAAGGGTGAGTCATGAATCCGGCGATAAATACGAACCAACAGTGCCCTAAATTGGATAACAAAATAAGATGTTACATTAATTGCCACGATGTCAGTTTGTTTCACATAATTATTCAAAATGGCACATCTAGAAAGAATTCGTGCAAAATGAACCTATCAATGTCGTATCCTGCATCGATTCCGCGTAAATTATTAATGAAATCTCCCACTTTCATTTTCAGTGACGGCTTGATATTAGGTGAATGAAGATCTGTATTTAGCATAACAATAGCGAAAGCCAAGATGAATATTGTGTCCGCACTGTGAAAAAGTGCAACTTTATCGGGATTACAGATGGCGTAACGAATAGAAAATACCTGCAACCAATTATACTGAAAACAGATTCTTCAATAATGTGCAAAACCCATTCGGTTTCATATCTTAATGTAGAGAGAACAGATTAAGGTCACTAAAAACATAAGTTTGATGGACTGTACTACCATGATCATTGTTTATGAATAAATCCATCCACTGTTAAGGAGGATTCCTTAGAGACAAAGTAACTTTAGAGTATAAAGAAAGATTATAGACCTGCATAATTCTCTCGATTTTCTGTGCTTCTCCTGGAAGGCGAAAAAACGAAAGCGTGTGCCTAAGGGCAATATCCACTTCCATCCCACGCAAATCAATCTGATCGACGAAATGACTAAAACTAGTAATTGATTACCGTGAAAAGAAAGAAATATAGAAAATGTGAATTCTATTATCTAATAACCGATATGACTTCTGAAAATTTTCTACAATCAATTCACAATACATTTATTTACCTTAAGCCTTCAACAACACTTAAGGATATTCGCTCCAATTCAGATACTATCAACAAATAAATGAAGTTTTTCTTTTTTTTTTTTTAAATAACTTCTTTAAATTAAAGATCCCAACGAAGCCAACAAACTACGTACTCAAAAGCAAAAAATATTATTATTTTTACCTGAGAACAGAAGATTGAAAAGGACTGTGCAAGTGTCCAATATATTCACCAATCATTTGTTTACTTAAACCACGTCGATGCAATAATAAATTAGCAACTGCGAGAGAATTATCTTCAACAAAACCCCATTCAATGAGATATTGCACACCACGTGTAGGTTTCCTGAAATTGCTTCAAATATTTTCCTTTAGTGCTCTAATTCGGACTTAACAAACAGACACATGCAACGCATTTTATATCTAACATTTAATTTATATACTCCTAACTTTCGGCAAATTAAACCCTCTCATTTTCCCCTTGCTTCTTGCAAATTATTTTTAGCGCACACAACTCACTTATTAAAAAAATTAAGCGCTATTCTGTATTGACGTCTTCTTCGCTGATCTGGTACTCCGTGGGTCGATGAAGTGCTGCAAACAATATGAACATTGGGAGACATGGAAACTAATAATTTCTAAAATTTCTTAATAACCATAAAAACTCCAAATATCAATCCAGCTTTCTTCAAGTCATGCGAGAAGGTCCCATCAATTACGAATACTACTACATTCTATTTCATTGATAAAAGTCCTCATTATTCAATCCTTGCTAGTCAAAAGAGAAATAAGATTGCCCCGACCAAACCAAAAAATGAGAACAAAACTAGTTTATCAATTCTAGTTTCTGGTTTCTGAAAAGGTTATTCTTCAGAAGAGTGCGCGTATCATGAACACTCATTAATTCTGATAGAGAAGAAATTGAATCTTAATCTTCTAGCAAAAATAATGCTTAAATCATTACGCTAGATCTCATTATTTTTGTGATAAGCATTAACCTGATGGCCTGACATGGTGTTGTATGTTTATCGAGACGAGGAAGCGAATTTGAATGACTGCTACGACCAGCAACTGCTGATGAACGAGGA